GGTGGTGAGAATCAACAAAAATGAAATAGATGTCAAAACCCCAGATGGAAACGTATTATTTTGAAAATTGATTTTAAAAATAAAAGGGACCACAAGGTGGCTCAAATGGGGTAAACCTGAGTTTACTTCCCCAGCATCACATGGTAGAAGCTTGTTCTCTGGCCTCCACAGAGGCTGTGGCCTGGGTGTATGCTAATACACTCACATATACTAAATAAATAAATGTTAAAATCTGAGAAAAGGAAAATAGCTTTCATTATAATACCTATATAAGGCTGTCATTTATGTTACTCCCATTAAAAAGAAGTCCAGCTTAATGTGGAGGGGAGGGGTTAATGTGGAGAGAGATGATCCAGTGGGTAAAGACTCACCCCACAAGTGTCAGGGCTTGAGTTTAGATCCCCAGAATCCACATCCAGCACTCTTAAGGATGAGATGGGAAACTTGAGTGTCAACTTCCCTTGTCATTCAGTGGTAAACAATAAAGAGACTGGTCTCAAACAGGGTGGAAGGTAAGGACTGACACCCATGAATACTGTGGCACATCACACCCAGGGGGTTAGAAGGCAGGTTTTTGTTTGTATAGTTCCAGAGCCTTTCACAGCTGAAAGGTAGTCAAGTGATTCAGCCACTTCAGTAAATAGTCTGTCACATTTGAAAGAAGTTAAACATACAGTTTCCATTTGACCCAGCAATTCTACATCTAGCTATCCACCTGAGCAGTGAAAGTATATGGCCATTCAACCATATGAACATGAGTATTTACAGCAGTATTGTTCACAACAGTCCCAAGTGTAAACACCCCAGGTGTCTATCAGTGGTAAAGTGAGAAAGCAAAAGGGGGCCCATCTACATGGTAGATTGATATTCATCCTGGACAAAAAGATGATATGTTGAACCTTCAGAGTAGGTGAAGGAAGGAGGAACTTCCAGACACTGTACACCATGTGTATGGTTTTGTTTGTATAAAGTATTGGATGAGTAATTCTTCAGAGGCAGAGGTTGGAGGGAGATAGAGGGAAATGATGGCTAATGTATAGTTCTGTAAATTCTGAATAGCCATTGAACTGTGTTCTATAAACAGGTAAGTAGTGTGACATAAATTATGTCCCCGTAAAGCTGCATTAAAGAGAAATTAGCTATGTCTGAGATAATCTAATTTTGGAACAGTTTCTTCCCATCTCATTGGAAGCGCTGTAAGTGGATTGGACACTATCGCCATAGTTACCGCTTCCTTCTGTAGTATTTCCTGATTGTTCTTTCCTGTGTGTATATGACAGGATTCAGTAAATTCCCCCTTATGGTAGTAATGGGGAAATGTGGGCATTAAAGACCACTAGTTAAAAGTGGGTTCTGTTTTCCTCCTGTGCTAGCCTAGTTTATGTTTTCTTGTTAGCGCTGGCTAACCTGGTTGACCTCAGACTTTGAGCAGTCCTCGTGCTTCTGCCTCCCAGGTGCTGAGATTACAGGTGTGTGCCAACATACATGCCTGCCTGGCTGTCTTTTCCTTCTGTTGACCATTTTGCAATCCTTTTAAAAGGAAACAGAGCTGAGACCATGGCTGTACTCAGCTGTAAGGCAGGATCTTTGGCTCATGGTCAAGTGTGTAGTACAGACTTGATGTGCAGGAGGGAAGATTAGGGCTGTAGGGATCTGAGCAGTTTAGTGACACTGAACCCTTGAACAGCCTGGTGGTCAATCCCTTGAAAAGAAAATAACGGGATTTTTATTGATCTGCTTTATAATCCCCACCTAACATCGTATTGCATGACATAGTCTCACATTTTACAATCTATTGACATGAGTATGGGATCCATCGTGGCCATTGCTGTGAGCTTTTGTTTTGTTTTGGTTTTTGAGACAGGGTTTCTCTGTGTAACAGCCCTGGCTGTCCTGGAACTCACCTTGTAGACCAGGCTGGCCTCAAACTCAAAGAAATTCACCTGCCTCTGCCGCCAGAGTGCTAGGATTAAAGGTGTGAGCCACCACATCTAGCCTTGGATGTCAGTGGTTTAATCCCAAGCATTGGGATGGAGTTCCCTCAGTAGGGGAAAAGAAGCATCTTTTGCAGTTTCTTCCATCTGATCACTCCTGGCTGCCTGCACAGCTTATGTCATTCTGTCCTCACAATACCCGTAGCATTAGTTTTCTTGTCTGTCTCAGAGATAAGATGTGCCTTGTCCAGGGATGAAGAATTCTTAGAGGACAATTTACCCACAACAGGTTGATGAGGTGTACTAGAGAGGGCCTGTAATTAAGAAAGACTTAGGTGGACTAGAAGGGACTGGCATGGAAAGAAGAGACAAGGAAGATTAGGACCCTGTCTTAGGTCTCCCCATCCAGAAAGTGACCAGACTTGGGATCTAGGCAAGACTGTGTGTGGCCATCTCTGTCCACTGCTCCCCAAGAAGCCCTGCTGCTATATTGCAGGACTGCCTCTCCAGCAAAGCTGTGCCCCAGGTGTAAATATACCCTTCCTTCCCCAGGGTATGTGCTCTTGAGCTCAGAGGCTCCCTAATTTAGGAGGTCCAACTTTCAGCCATGGGGAAGAAAGCTGTCGTGGGCCCTGTGTGGGTGAGAGCCTATTCTG